AGCTTATACCAGGTGAACTTAATAGAAATATAAAGAACATTTCACCCAAAAGCATCAGAATAGACATTTTTTTCAAGTGCACATGAAGCCTTCAGGGTAGATGACATGCTACATCACACAACAAGCCTCAGTAAATTTTAAAAAATCTGAAATCATATCAAGCCTCTTTTCTGACCACAACACTTGTAAAACTCAACTGCAAGAAAAAAAACAGCAAAAAACCCAAATACGTGGAGGCCAAACAATATGCTACTAAACAAATAATGGGTCAAAGAGGAAATAAAAAATACTTAGAGACAAATGAGAACAAAAACACTATGACCCAAAATCTGTGAGAGACAGCAAACACAGTTCTATGAGGGAAGTGCATGGCAATAAAACCTACCCCAGGATACAAGAAAAATCTTAAATAAATAACCTAAACTTAACACCAAAAGGAACTAGAAAAAGAAGAACAAACAAAGCTCAAAGGTAGTAGAAGGAAAGAAATCATAAAGGTCAGAGCAGGAATAAATGAAATAGAAGCTTTAAAAAAAATAGAAAATATAAATAAAACTAAGGGGTCGTTCTTTGGTTAGATAAACAAAATTAGCAGAATTACTAGTGAATAAAGAGAGAGGGCCCACATGAATAAAATTAGAAATGAAAGAAAATTATAACATATGCCAGAAAATGGATAACTTAGAAGAAATGCATACATTCCTAGAAATGTACAATCTCTCAAGACTGAACCAGGGAGAAGTAGAAGATGGCAACAGACCAATTACCAGTACTGAAATTGAATCAGTAATTAAAAAATAAGTACTCCAACAAACAAAAGTCCAGGACCAGACGGCTTCACAGGTGAATTCTGCCAAACATTTAGAGAAGAGTTAACGTCTGTCCCTATCAAGCTGTCCTCCCCAACTGCATAAAGACCATCTTCACGCCCATTCTACAAGGCCAGCGTCACCCTGATACCAAAACCAGACAAAGACCTCACACACGAACAGAAAAGCACAGGTCAGTATCACTGATGAACGC